TGTGTGTAACACACACACACACACACACACACACACACACACACACACACGCACGCACGCACGCACGCACGCGCACACACACACACACACACACACACACACACGCACACACACACACACACACATTGGTTTTAAGAATGGTCAAATTACGATTTTAGATTTTTTACAGTGAATACACCAGATTTAATTTTACAAACGTACATAAACAAACATATCAATCGAGAAAATTTACCAAAGACCTTAAATGTCTAACGAATTTAAATTACGCAATTTCAAGGTTGAAAAATACAGTTGTTGCTCTCATTCGCTAAAACATAACTTTGGAATGGAACAAAAACGTTTCACGTACAGTGAAAATCATCTAATCCGGTGTTGTAAATATCCGAAGGATCGGATCTATCGAAAACTACATCATTACATCCGCCTACGCATACTATTTATGATCTAAACTTTCCAATCCATACTAATATGTGCTAAATACATACTAACCATAAGTACATCACCTTACAAAGTACACGACCACTCTAAGTAACTGAATACTTAATATACGACAATCTACCCTCTCATACGGTACATACAAGTTAAAAAACAATATTAAACTCAGTTAGACTTAGCACGTAAATAGTGGCAAACGAATATCTGTATTTCCAACAGAAATAGTACAGAGGATCTATAAACTCGCTGTTATCACATCAGGCGATGCATGGCATATCGAGCTAACTCGGCACGAGAGTAGATGTCCTTCCTTAGTCCTGTCAACCACGAATGGCCTATTCTTATTTGAATTAATAATGTTGATAAATGTTGGTTTGCGAGTCGGAAAACAGGTTAAATCGGTTACTTACTTACTGGGTCCGTTTAGACTCGCGGGTTTTGTTGCTACTCATTTCTCACTGAAGATGACGCAAAGCCGAACGCTTTTAAGTAACAAGACCCACGAGTATATACGGACCCGTTATGTGACCCAGTGCCGGTTCAACATGGATTAATACTGTTGCTTTATGTAATGCATAAAGTACTTTTATTTTAGATTTTCCCCCAGAACAAATTTGAATGAAACATGTTCCCACTTTGACTACCAATCTAAATAACGTAAACATTACGTGACTAAATAGATCATCTGGACGAGTAGGACGTGAGTACTGTTTTTGGAGAACGGTGATAATTCGAAACGTGTCAGACAACAGAACGACGATAAGCTAAATAGAGGAGATAAATGATGATAAAACCGCTATCATATTTGGAATTTTTGGTTACTTCGTACCCTGTATTACTTTTTACTTAAATTATTACTTCTCGGTTTTTGCAAATCAAACCATTTCACAATAAACCTGGCTGATCGTGCAGATCGGCTTAGTGAATCAGCATCTGGCCTGAACTATTAACAAACTTGTTCATTACAGACATCAACTTGTTGATACAGTTTATGAATTTTTAATTGTGCCTGTGTTGTATTTTACAATTAGTGTTTTGAATTGTTTGTGTTTCTTTTTGTTTGTTTATTAAATCCAAATACTTTAATACTGACAGTTTGTGGCTGTGTGAGTGGTTTTAGGCAGGGTGTTTTTATTGTTCGTTGCTGATGGTTTTCTGTATAAGTTGGTTTAGTGTTGATATTTTGAGTCCTGACAGAATGCTGTCAACGATGTAAATGGAAATTATCGGCTTCACTACTGCAAAATTAGGACGTTTGCCGTTTCCCTCGGATTTCCAGGCGGCAATGTAGCATCTATGGAACAAAAGTTATTGGCATTATGGTTTATGAGCCCCCGGCCTTATGATGACTCGACTCGATAAGTACAAATAAATATGTGAGAGAAAATGCCAGGCATACTAACGCTGATTAGAAATACAAATTTAAGTTAACAATCAGGTGAAATAATCAAAGAAAATTCAACTGTCAAACATGTATACATCTAACTGATGTGTAGAAATACATTGTACAAACTTTTAATTTGCTATAATCAGCTGGACGTATGCAATTCGAGGGAGGATGTCATCTGCCATTCATCCTTATAGTGTATACCTCCAACAATCGTGAATTATCTATGCACGAAGAATGGGGTAATAAGTAAGACGACAGTAAATACAAAAAACCCACAGTGAGGAATGGAGAACCAAGATGATCGGAAAGGACCACACTACAGATTCATTACCTCGTCATTCTGGACACATCTCACAACTGTGCTTTATAAAAGTAGCTAGTTTTTAAAAAAAAATTGTCGTTATTTACATTCCATGACTTGAAGTACATTATTCATACCATAAAATGTAAGTCCAGGGAGGTTGTCATTAGACCTAATATCCCAAAAAATAAGCTTCATTACCTCGTAGGGCTGGAAGACATATTTCACATCTGTTCAAAACCTTGTATACAGCTAGCTGGTTCATTTGAGTATATATATTATATAAAAAGAAAAAAAATCGCATTAGTTATATTGTACAAAACCTAAAATGTAAACCCGGGGAGGTCATTAGTCAGAGTATATTAAAAACAACCAGTGTTATCATCTAGTGCTATTTGGATGCCAATGCCTATACATTTGTTGCCTTTAGGGGAGTAATTATGACACATTTTTTTATACGTTTGTGTAAAAAGAAAAGGATGTTTTAAAATGACAGCAAATCATCCATCGAAGCAAACAGAAACGCATCTGACAGACCAAAGCAGCAAGGGCAGGATGATTGGAAATAATCAAACTATAGGTTCATCGCCTCGTAGATGTGATAACATATCTTACAACTGTCAAAAGCGTAGCTGGTTCATACGAGTGAAAAAGGTTTTTACATTATTTACACTATCATCAACTGAAATATGGAATTCAAATCGTAAAATGTAAATCCACAGAGGATGTCGTTAGTACGAATAACCTAAAAAAGAGGCCAATGAAAAACGAATATCAGCTAGTGATGCATACTTTGATGGAATGTTGTCTTAAATGTTGTCTCTAAAGGAGTAATTCTGTCACATTTGATTCTTGAAAACGGAAACTATGTTTTCAACCAAAATGCTACTTGGAAGATCTATCAAATTAAATAAAATCACGATTTTATACGTATGTAAAAGGAAAAATGGATGAGCTAAAAATGACAATAACCCAACATTGAAGCAAGCAGAAACGCATCTGGTAGATCAGCGACGACAAAAGCAAACATTAACGGAGAATGACGATTTATGGTAATGATCGGACTACAGGCTCATCGTCTCGTAGAACCTAGATGCTAGATGATTTATTTCACAATTGTAGAAAATGTTGTCTTCAGTTAGCTGATTTATTATAATAAAAAACAAAAAGGTTTTTGCATTATTTAAATTATCATGACTTGAATATATTATACAAACTCTTAATTGACTGTAATTAGCTGGGTGTGATGTTCATGTGTAATTCTAGGGAGGATGTCATTTATGTGTATACCCTTGTATATATATATATATATGTATACAGTATAATAATTACCCTATAACAACATAACCAGTGGATTACCAATTTATCAACATGTTTTACTGTTTTGATGAAAACAATTACACAGATTGTCTTTAGGGGAGCCAAGTTGGATTTTTGGAAACTGAAAACCTCATATCCAATCGAAATGCAACCTCTCGAACGCGCACCAATTGGAGGAATGAATCACCTATAAGTTTGTTCTAAACCGTACAAATTGCGTCAGGTGGTGAATCACACCTTTCGCCTTGTGTAAGTGATACAATGCAACGAAAGTCAGCCAGCGTTGAAAAAGGGCGACCAATTTCCCGTCATCGTCATCGCTCCCACTTGCGCTGGCGCTAACCCCCTTCTACTCATCGTCCTTTGCTCAAACTCGTTTCTAGCGAACCAGTCTCAGTCGTGCACACTGCACAACTTGTATCGAGTAAGTTGGCTCGAAAGGCCGTTCGGGTCGCGTCTCTCCTGACGTTTTATTGTGCCAGGTGCCACTGATCCCCATTCGCAGATGAATCGATATAAAATACAGGCCTTTTCAAACCAATAGGACACCAGCCTGAGAACCGCGGAAAGCCCTGCCCTATAAGTAGGAGCGAAACAACCACAAAGTCCTAAAAGCATTTGTTAAAATTAACATAAAGGCAAGTCAATTTTTTTCCCAACTAACAGAAATAATTTAATAGTAAAAGATTTTGTTCTTTACTGTTTTCAACTTTTACCGAGGTTATCCCCACTTGACTCGTTTTCCTTGGCATAATTATTATAAATTTTGTCATTTAAATTTGTTTAAAAAATTTTCAAACAATTTTTTAAATCTTCAGGGTGGAAGTATAAGAAGACAACGATGGTGGATAAGATAGCAGGTGAGTGATAATATAATTATTTAAAAATAAATATTAAAAATATTAAATTTAATTCATGAAGGCAAAAAAATGACGCTATCTAATCCGCTGCTAGATAAAAAATCATATCTAGATTCAACAGAGTTTTTAACAAAATTTTCAATTTGCGGGTGGTTTTTTTTTCAGAGAAAATCATCATGACCCCAAAGGGAAAGACGGCCAATTCGACGAGACTTTTGATCGAAAGGAAAGCGATTTCGGAAGAGGAGGCGAAAAATGACAAAATGCATGTGGCAGGTGGCGACCACGCAGGGATCGTCATTAACAAAACCGTTGCCGATGGTAAGCGTTTGACTTAGCCCTTGACATCAAACAACCGCCGACTGTGCCAAAAAAACTTAGTTCCAAATAGGCCGAACAAGTAAAAAATACGCTGCCTTTACTGTTGATTTTTTAAAAAGTAAATCTTTAAAGGCAGTAATTTGGAATATTCCAATGATAACTTAATTTTCTTATTCCACCTGTTTGTTAGTAACAGTTGTATATTAAGTTTATTCGTAACTTTATTGTTTAACAACAACATAACAGTTAAACTTACAGAGTAATTATATAAAAAGTAAGTCAGATACTCAATAGCAGTCCTCTGACTACCACCCTTTACCATTTATCCTATTATTTTTTTAGCTTGTAAGAATTTAAACAAGCCCTGCTTCGGTTATATTTGTAATTAAAGAATGATCGTGTAAATCAGTCTATCGAATGTTATATTTACAAGTTTGCACTGCAAATCCTATTTAAAAATAGATAAAAAGTTTTGAAAGTGACATGTAATTAACTATGATTAATTATTTCTAAAATCTAATTTATGATTTCCAAATATTCATAAATTCACATTTAAATTAATAGTGAAAATATTTTGGTTGTTTACTGTTTTTGTATTGAAAGTTGAGCTTGCTTTTCCCTTTGTTTTCCTAAAAAGTATTTTTTTGTCGAATAGTATTTGTATCAAGATTATCCCATGATTATTCATTATTCATGATAAACTATTGTGAAGACTTGAATCAGTTTTTGTTCACATTTCATTAAAAATTTATCCACTTATGTTTTGCAGTCCTTTGAATTTTTTTAAATTAATGGTTTTAAACAACTTAATTTTGTTTTTAACCAGCAATAGTATGTCCGGCATTTTTTCTTCATTGAGTCACAGGGCATAATTAGGTTGTAAGGCTTATAAACCATGTCATCAACATTTGTGTCAAAGGTGTCACATAGCCACATGGTAATCCAAAGGAAAAGGCAAATGCCGTAATTTTGCAATAGAGAATCCAGCAGTTTCCATTTGCTATATCTTACAAATATACGAGATAATGAACTTGTAGTTGATGTACATTGACCGCATACTGATAGGACTGAATACGCAAAATCACAACAATTACTGACGAAACCAAACACCATGACTACAAAAACTAAACTCAAACTCAAATTTGCCACATGAGAAAAAGCAATAGTTGCAGACATAACATGTGTACACTCAAACCATCCATGCTGGTACAAAATTACATAAATTACATGAAGGAGCAGATGAAATCAGTACTCCTCCTGATGCAATGTGTACCCACCACTGAACATTTCAAAGTGCAAAAATGTGTCAAACAAATCTTTGAGGACAGGTAAACTAGAATCAAGATCAAATTATTCATTTTGGATTTTTTCACCTTTATTTGTATTAACTGTGAAATATAAATTGACAACATGCATGGTGTAAAAGTTTCAAAGGAAACAGTCAACTGAGATGTTTCAAGTCATGTTTCAACTTGAGAATAATTAATTACTCAATCATTACAAAAGTTGAATCTTGAGAACACACCTAAGTTAGACGCAGTTCATTATGATTCATGTCTATAATTTAATGTTATATAATAAATATAATAAATTTTACAATTTTTGTAACTTGTTAAATTGTGAGATTTGTTATTGCGACCTTTGGGGTGATGAACCTGTAATATGGTAGTTCTTGATTATTTTGGTCTGCCTAATCTTGTTCTGACAGACGTTGATGTGTTTCTGCTTGCTTCAGTGGTGGGCTATTTTTATTTTCTGCCATTTTGAGCACATCCCTTTCTTTCACAAACGTATAAAATCATAGTGATTTTATGTCTATGGACATGTTAGTGAGGAAGCATTTTGGGTGGAAACAATGTTTTCGTTTTCAACAATTAAATGACAGAATTACTCCCCTAAACACAAAATCTGAGAAAACGTTCTATCAATATACCACTAACTGCTAACTGGCTACTTAAGCCTCTTTTTTTTAATTATTTGAACTTGCTGTGTTGGTTTGTCAGATATATTTCGGCATTCTGCCATCTTCATTGTTGGGTCTGTCTTACGTTAATTTTTTTTCTAAACTATTTAATTCAGTTTGAGTGATTTTTTATACAAATTATTTTATGCTTTCTACTTAAAATCATTTCTTCCTTAGATGTTGAAGACACAATTCCAGAAATTTCCATTCAGTTCCTCGTATTCCTCGTTAATGGACAGACTGGTTCACACACCCATGAAAGCAGGAAACTCCTGTTTTGGTTCAAACCACAAGTTCCTGTCCATGAGAGGGCAACTGTCGCCCAAGAGTTCTTCAAGGAATTGGTCAGCCCACAGAATTTTCCAAGAGGTAAATATTGCGTGCATAATTTTTTTAAACCATCTCAGCCTGCATTTTTGACCGAAATTATATTTTGGATTTTGGATCTGAATTTGTTAAGCTCAAACCCACACATGTACATGCATACAAACATATGCAGAGTTGAGCGTATCACTTCTCGCAGTCCACCGGCAAGCCCAGGCTTTACAATAAATTGCCGGCAGGCTTCAAATAGAGAAAAACAATCTTATACATTAAATATAAAAAATTAAGGGACCGTGGTAACTAGTTGTCAGAATGATAGACTGTCGACTCTAGACCCTGCGATTGTGGGTTCAATTCCCACCATCGTCCCTGGCCCCCTTTTTTTTTAAAGTTACCCTTCCTCCCCACAAAGAATACGCATAGCATATATCACTTTCCTTGATTAATATGCAAAGTTCATAAGATCATTTAAAAAATTGTTATAAAATTACTAACAGAAAATTTTTATATATACATTATCATGGCCAGACTGTGAACAGTGATGCTAAACTTTCACCATTTTCATATCGTATAATTTTCAATTTTATGTTTAGACTATGTCGGCTTCATTAAAATGCTTATGAAACTTATGCAAAACCGCCATCCTACTGTTAGAAAACTGGAGATTGAATTAAAGCAGTTGGAACAGGCTAAATTCCCCAACCGTCCGAGTAAGTATTTACATATAGATATTCACTTGCATAACTTAAAATAAGTGTTGAAAACTTGATGGGCTATTATTATTAAGCGAATACACATGTACCGAATATTTTGTTTTTATCTCATTGTAGCAAGGCCGAATTGCCTCCTCATTGATTTGAAGGATTATGACAGTGAGCTGTCAGGTTGGAGATATTACTATTTATCCCTGTTATCTTTAGCTTTCCACATAACAGAATTGTTTAATTATATTTTCTAACAAATTGCATACTTTCCTTTTCATGTTTTTATAATTTTATGTTTTATTTTTTTAAAGTAACAACATGCATGATAATTATTGATGCATTTTATAAACTTCACATATTTTTAATGCGTTTTTTGATAGATGAATATTTACTTAAACAAAAATAAAATAATTTTTGAATAGTGCATTGTGGTTTTTAAAATCTATAGATAGAATAGTTTTAGGCTATATTCAAAATGACACTAAATTATATCAATAATAAATGGGAAAAACAAATCTAGATAGCACGTTTAGAGCGTTGTTAGCACTAAAATAGAAATATTCGATATACTAAATAAATTTAAATGTTTGAAGTGTTAACCAGTTATTTCAATTTTTAAAAAAAATTTATGAGCTAATATAACTGTTTTATTACAATTTTATTACATTACTTGATTAAAAATTTAAGGCATTTTCTTTCTAGTTTCATCCGATGACAGTATAGTAGGAAAGCAAGTTATGCTTACACAAGAAAAAGTGCTAGAAATGATTGAAGCAGCCTATCCGAATCCTGTCACTGTGGAAGATCTTTCAAAGTATGTTCTCTTACATCCACTCTTTTGCTAAATATTAATTTAAAATGCATTGTCTACCAGGGAGCACAATTGGGAACAGGACCTGGTCACGCAGACCCTTGACAAGCTCAAAGAAAAGCAGCTGGTGAAAGCCATGGAACATGGCGCTTTCACAAGAGTAATTCAGCACGAACAAAACATTAAGGTAATACATAATACATGTTGCCAGAAGGAAATTTTTTCATATAAAAATATAGTTTTGTGTAGTATTTAATGGTTATTTAGTTTGGCTTTGCCCACTACAAACCCTACTGCTGTTTTTGTGCACTTTCATCCAAAAATTGTGAAGTCTGCGTTGTGATGACATTCTAATCCAAATTTTGCTAATCTGAACAGGGCTCAGTCCTAATCATTCAGTCTAGCAGAACTCCTGTACACAAGATTTGAGATAAACTCCTCTTCTCATGTTGTTTTATGACAAATTTTATGTATATGTAGTGAGCATTGACTGATTCTTGGGAGTTCAGTCAACTCACCCAGTGACTAACTAATACTGTGTGGTACATGTTCACCTATTCCGGCATCCATAGAACGGTACTCCATTTTGGAGCTTATAACCTGTCATTTTGCAGCTAGATGATTTTCATAGATATTTTTGATCATTCTGTTCCCAACCCCCATAAAGTGAAAACTTGCCTTAGCGGTATTCCATTCCGTCCATGTGTGAATGTTGTATCGACTTAGCTTTCATTAATAAAAATTTAGTAACTTGGCATCAGATCTTCACAAACAAACAAAATCTAGGTCTCGTCAAATCATAGGTGTGTGGGCAATCTTTGATTTCATACAAACAGCTCAATTGACATCACAACAAAATTAGTCTCGAAGTGATTGATTGTGTTCTGTCTGACAGGGTTGATGCAAATTATGTAGTAAAACATGATCACCAGAGACCCTCATGGAGATCTTCCTGCTGCAACAGATCGTTTTCTGTTGGGTTTGGCCTTGATATAGCACTATGCATTGTGGTATTAATTCCAGAATTAATTACACAATGTATTGAGACCTTAAAAGTCAATAGCAAATAAAATGCTAATTATTTGAATTTTGACTGTTTCACCATAACTATTTTTAGGTGTTTTGGTTTAGAGCTGTGGTGCCAAAGGGTTAACAGTTACCTAATAAAAGTACATTTTATACATTTATTTATTGATTGATTGGGTGCTCTTTTTTGAAACAGTGGCCACTCATGAGATGTGATAATGAAAGTTTATTTATTTATTTTTCTTGCATTTACCTAAAGAGCATAAATAATTATACAAATTTTAATTGTATTTTAAAAGTATATAAAAGCTTGTTCAATATTTTATTTATTTTTAATTAATTTTTTTTTTAATAGATTGTAAAGACGATGCCAGCAATAGTAAGTTCAAAGCAACCAACAATAGCAATCATAACAGCACAATACTGCGAAAAATTAGCTGTCGATGCTATGATGGACAACAAAGAGACTTTTGTCCGATATACGACAGTCGGTAAGTCTTACGCAAGCGCCATTAATTTTAACTTAAATATCCAACATATATAAAACCTCATCTCCGGGCTCGAACAATAATTGCCCCTCCTTGAAAATGGTTTGTCATAAAAGTGTTTTGCAGGAGGAAACCCAAATATGGATGGATTTTCAATGAAGCCTTCATTTATTAAGTCGACACGGTTTGGTAAGCAGTGTGCTCATCGTCTCACTGCTTTGTTTTGTTTGTTCAGCTTTTGTGTTCACATTTGTGTTGTTTATTGTTCAATCACAGAAACAATGCTTAAAACTAACAAAACTACATTATGGGAGTTACTTGTTTTTTATACTGCTACTTTAAGCATGTTAGCAGAATGCAAATTTTGGATAAGATGTTAGCGGTATGTTAAAACCACTATCATCATGCTATTTGGGAGCAATTATATTTTATGAAATGGGACATTTTCCCTATTGAATAAAAATAATCTTAAAGCAAATAATGAAGTTTATGTAAAGCCCAAATATTATTAAATTTTTAAATGAACATTTTTGCACAAAACTAAACTTTTACCTGATAAGAAAAAATAATATTCGCACACAGTTAAAACAAATATATTTATTATATATATACGTACATATGTATATATAAAATAAAGAAACCCCAGCACATCACAAAGCTAGTTAACTTTTATTTATTGTTTCCTTACTTTTACAACTGCTTTAGTTTTGTGCACTTACTCTCTACAAACGGTTCTCCCACAAATACCATAAACGTTAATGGTCCTAGGGATGATACGTAGAAATTGAGTTGGTTTTTGGAAGAGCTTAATAGTCTAGATGTGGTAATTATATTCTGGAGGGTGTACGCTTCTTGTTTGATAAATAATTTATTGGAAGACACTCAAAAATAATTCATTAATGAATAAAAAAATAATTCATCATTACCATTGAACAAAATTATAAAATTTCTGCAACTGACATAATCATTGCGGATGCCAGAGACATCATCAGTGAGTTGTTTTATCAGGAGAATGACGCTACTATCAAGTCTACTGATGCTTTCAAAAGATATCCACCACATAAACTCATCATAAATGCAGACGATACAATGATGTAATTCTTTTATAATACAATAAAAAATTACATTAAAAAATTATTGTCCTGGTTGTGTTAAACAAGGATTGTATTGTCCAAGTGTATGAGTGTACGCTTTTTCATGATTTATGAATAACTGTCATACCATTTTTATAACAATGGTTCATTAATTTACATATTTTCATCGCAGTTGTATTGAATTAACAAGTTATAGCATAGAATGTGACTGATTTCTGATTGTACAAAATTAATTATAATATATTTTGGCAGGGGAGTCAAATGTCTACACTTTAGGAAATATTGGATCTCATAGAATAGTCTGCACAAAACTCCCGACATTGGGATATACAAGGGAAGCCGTGACTTCAGCTGGAAATACAACGACAAGGCTTTTAGGTAGGGTAAAAGAAATTATTCTATTATAGGCTCAGTGTGTTTTACCTATTGGTGTAAAGTATGTTTTATTTTATTTTTATCTGAATTTATTTTATGGGTATTTCAAGGTTTGGTGCATTTAAATAACACCATTCAGCTGAGTACCCTGTGGCGACTATGGCTAGCAAATATGGCCATCACTGCTATAATTTTTTTATATATGTACGTAAGCTCCTGTGCAATCATTAAACCATGACAGAGTGGGCTTTCAAAATTAATACTACTATTAGCAACTATTAAAAATAAAAAGTTTCTACTAATTTTTGTCTTCTTTTGTGTTGTTTTCTGTTGATAATTGAGCTAATTAAAATTTTTTTATTTAATTGTTTTTGTCTTAATCTTTTTAGGTACTTTTCAAAAAGTAGACTACGTATTTCTTGTAGGCGTTGGCGGTGGGGTTCCTCATTATACAGACTATACAAAACATGTACGCCTTGGTGATGTAATCGTGTCTTGCGCTACACAGCCGAACACGTTAGTTTTCTTTATTGTTTTTATTTTATTCTTAATTTTCTTTTCCATGTGAAGTTATCAGCAATTACCACAGAAACTTGGTATTAAAACTTTTTTTTTTGTAGATATGCCTATACCTATTGTGAAAGTGTGAAAAGTGGTAATAACAATGATTTGATATTTGAATATAAACATCACAACCCAGCAAGTCTTGACCTTCAAAACGTAGCTCGGCAGCTTAAAGAAGAAGTTAGAAAAATATAAAATTAATCTACATTATAGATCAATTGAAACATCAATTAATTTAATGTTTTTCCTCTTTAGTATAATGCTGAAAACAAAACTCCCTGGTTCGATTGTATGGTGGATGCTTTGGAAATTTTGAAGGAACAAAGTGAACATGATTTCCACAGGCCTTCAATAGAAACTGACAAATTATACATGGCGATTGGTGAAAAGGACGTAATTGAAGTTTCGCATCCACAGCCATCTGATGAAACAGATGCATCAAGGTAACATCATTTTATAAATATTTCACCTTGCATCAATTTCTAAGAAAATTTAAATTCATATTTGAAATTATAGATTAGAAGGTTGTCCCCGTTTACATCTTGGCCCGATTGCATGTGGACGAGGAGTCAGCAAGGATGCTAGGCTCAGGGAGGCGTTTTCATTACAAACACAAGCGCTTGCGTTTGATTTCGAGTCTGACTCGGTCGTCGAATCAATAGTCGGCAATTGCCGGGATAATTGGACCTTGGTCAGAGGTATTGCTGATTATAAGGACGGCCAGAAGAAAGGCCCGTGGCAGCCATTCGCTTCTCTCGCCGCCGCTGCAGTCATGAAATCAATAATCTGTGCAATGGAACCTTCAAGCGACTAAAAGCCAAAATCAACAAAAAGTGAACAATTTTACATTCCTATCACACAACAAAGTTCAGCCTGATGTACCTGAAGCTGCCAAAATAACGAGCTTTTGATGCTGAACTTTAAAAACTTAATTTTGTCCTGTACAATTAGCTACCCCTAGTCATAATTCTCCAAGAATTATCTTACTTTCTGATAATCTTCCGCAGTTATTGTTATTAATTAATATTAGGAATCATATTATTAAATTGGGAACAAATATTAATCGAACTCTTGTTTTATATTCTCAAGTTTATTTCACATTAGTGTGTTAGAATTAATGTCTGAAGACATTTTCTATTGAAAATTACTGTATGTTTTGAATTAATTTTTCGTTCTTAATACTACTTTTGATTGTGATAAAAATCATTACTGATAAGTATTTATACAATTTAAAATAATGTTACTGTATAGTAAATATTTATTGTATCTAACAATTAAGTAGTTACCAATTTATAAATAAGAAAATAACACTGCCTAACTTAATGAAACAACGGCGTCAATATTGACTTAAAATTGAGTTGAGTAAAAGTTTATGTCTGTTATTATTATATTTTTATACTTATAGACAAAAGAATTTATTTGAAGTTGAATTATATGTCACTTCCTTTTTATTTGTCATGTTATGAATAAATTTAAATTAGAAATTTTATTCTTTCCTAAACTTTTACAACATTAACATTTAACTTTGTGTTTATTGGATGACTATCAACAATGTTGTCATGTCAGCCCCCAAAATCTGCTAAAGGACTGTGGTGGCCAAGTGGTTATAGTCTGACTTATTGCCTACATTAGCAGTTCAAGGAGTATGATCAGTTGTACTTTTTTTTACATTACAACAGCGCTGTTGTGCTATAAGCAAAAAAAAACTAGTTTCCAAAACATTTATCTATGTATTTATCAATTATTTTCTAATTTTCTTTAAAATACGTGTTTCATCTTAAAGTGGAACATGTAGAAAAATACAACTCATTACAGGGTTTCTGTAGTGGATGAAAAGAAAAAACCTTTAGTCTTAACAAATTTTGTATTATAACTTTATAAGAGGAGAACCATGGTAGCCAAGCGGTTACTGTGACAGACAACTGGCTCTTAGAAAAGAAGAAATTCTTGTGGTTAAGCAGCATAATTGGTCATATTAATTATTTCAAATAATTCTTTCTTTTTTCTAAAGAGTTGGTTGAGATGAAAAAGTTAGTGTCACAAGCGGGATTCGAACCGAATTGAAAAATGGTAAAAAGAGGGAAAATTCGAAAGATGGTCGGTCGAGATGGGGAGTTGGTGTCCGAGTGGTCAAAGTCGTGACAGCTCAATTGTTAGTGCAGCAGCATATTAAGCCGAAGGTCATTTGTTCCAATTCCGTTTGTGACAAACGTTTTCATCACAACCAAGACCTTAGAGAAAAAGAATAGTTAATAGAAGTAAAATTAATGGTTGGAAAAGTTTATTTATCCGTTTTGATAATAACATATAGAATAAATCAATTAAAAATAAAGAAAAAGAGTGTGCATAATGAATATATTATCCCCTTGAAGATGGGAAAAACATTTTTACTTATTTCCTGGCCGTCTCCACAACAAATAATCAACAAACGAGGAATTGAACATAGCCGATTAAAAATTGTAAAATGACTTAACCTCTTACCTGCGACACCATTTTGAAGTTAACCACGGCAGGAAATACTTTTTTTTTACTTTAATTGCTTTCAGACAAGCATTAATCTAATATACATGAAAAAGGTGGGGCGAGTATATTGTTTCTTTTTTAAACAGTAATTAATTCTTACTCACAGTTCGTTGTTTTCGACAAGCACATCAGGTTGAAGTTGTTACAACTCTCGACATGAGCTGTGATCCCGCTGAAATGAAGAGTGAACCCGCCGCCGATCATCCACCAATCCGACGTGGCCAATGGGAAGATGTTGTTTATTGGCGCTCAATTTAAAATGCAAAAACCGTTAATTATAACACAACTTATTATCTTAATAAATAATAAAAGAAAATAATTTTAAATTAATAATTAATTTTTATATCTCAAGTACATGTTTCAAACTGGGGGGGGGTGTAAATCAAAATATATGATATTACTTATGAATTTATCTCTATGTTTAATTGTACATTTTTTTAAATTCAAATTTCGCAAATCAATCCAGTTCCCTCCCTTTGTTCAAACTGTGTAACACCTTTATATTTAAATTGATTTTTTTAATTTTAGACGATCGTTAAATTTAGAAAATTTGTTTGATTTAGGCAAGTGTCTTTTAAATCTTGTTTTCATTTCTCTGCCGTTTTGTCAACTTGTATATTTAATATATCAATCATTACAATTAAGTTGGTAAAACTAGTTTTTGGCAAGTTGTCAACCCTGTCTAGGTTTTGAGAGGACGTTACTAAGTGAACTCACACTTCTAAAACTCTCGTTTAAAGAATTTTACCTACATTTTCTGATTGTTCACCGATGTGTGGCAAGCAACGAAAACCAAATGATTCAATTTTGGTAGGATAGCTGAGTTGGTTAGTTTTTCTTATTATTATTTATTATATTCTTTTCTATTAACAGATGTTAATGGGAGTTTCAAAAAACGGTTTATGGGCCAAATGAATCCATCACTTGTTGGCTCCGTTGGTGAGATGAATCTGCTGGCATCATGGTGTTTGTAGTTATGGGTTTTCTATATACATCGTCTATTTCAATTAGGTTGTTTATTATTATGGTCAGTTTTAAGTCTAAAAATTTTAAACTATCACCTTTATTTATTTTCAGTGTAATTTTTGTTTTAATAAGTTTTGTTAATAAATTTATTTTTAACTTTTTAATCAATTTTACGATGCAAGTAAAGGTGGTTGTTTAAACTTTTTAGACTTAAAACTGTACATATTTTAACAACCTAATTGAAATAGACATATATGGATACGAGCGGATTCTTTTCACCCATGGGCCCAAAAAGCTGCTGGTTTCATTTGGTATTTAGACCATAACGTCCCGTTGGCGAGTTCTTCCAATTTATGTGGACAGACATGGTTGTAACTCCTTCAGCCTGATGATCTTGTTGAAAACAACAAACTGTGAGTAAGAACTCTTTAAAAGTACCAATATCTTGTCCCTAACCTAGCAAAAATATTAATTACTTACTAATTTATTGGATTCACGAGGAGTGGTCAAGAACGTTTTAGTTTAGAAAAACATCTTTTTTATTTCAACGTTTATTCGGGTCTTTTCCAATGGATAACGGGTTGTTAAAATAATACAATATTAATTACATTAAATGAAACTTTCTGAAGTGTAGAATAACACCAACTTGACAATTTGCAAAAATTCATTTTGTTCCGACTTACTTTGAAGTTCAGCCAAATTGAAACTTTCACACTGGATCTTCAAGTTAGCCATAATGCACAAGAAATTAAAAGGTGTTTTAAAAAATTGGTCATCCAAGAGTGTGAACATTTAAATTCCAACGAGCATTGAATGTGTTAATGTTGACATGTGTGATAAAATACAAGTTATACTAAAACCGTACCTTTCTTTGCTTAATAACATCAACTTTTTAAAGAAAAACTTCAAGGTTCAAGCGAAACTCTCAAGCCAGTATCAATTTATTTTTTAGTTATATATTGTGCTAAGCTTAATCTAGTTTAAGTTTTGTTATGTAGTCTTTTAATCATCAAAACACCAACTGATCAACACTGTAACCAACATGTATGGTGTTTAGTGACTGTTAGTTAATGATAATTGGAATTGTAAGATGTGGTCTGGTGTGACATAGGTTTTAGAAAAACATTTTCTTCATTGGGTCAATGTTTCGATCTTTATTGAGATCATCTCCAGGGCTTGGGATTTATAAACATTTTTTAAATTTTACAAATACTTGTAGGATGTGGAAACAGATGAATTTATACAATGCTAAAGTGTACAATGCTAGCAATGTATAAATTCATTTTTTCCCCACATCCTACAGGTATTTGTAAAATTTAAACAATGTTGAAGATTGAAACGTTGGCACGATAAAGAAAATGTTTTTCTAAAACCTGTCACACCAGACCGAAACTCACTATCTCCAAATAAATATGACAGGCCTAAATAACTATAAGCCGACTCACCCCTCATGTTAGTAATTTTACCAACGCAATAATCGAAGATAACAGAATGAGAGTAACAGTTCAATCCAGTGAGAAGACTAGATTAAGGAGATTTTAATCAGCAAGTTTCACTAGCAGACTTCACAAACAAAACGTTTACTGTTATAATTTAGAATTAAATGAAAATTTAAAAAATTATTATAACTGTAGTACAGTAGTATACGTAAATGTTCAGGGAAGTTCGACTGAAAATTGGAATATCATTTACTCTAAATTGTAGATACTGATTTATTGTCAAGGTTGTTAGGAATGAGAATATAAAAACAGAAACTTAGTAATAAAATTTATTGATCAAATTATATTGATGAGGGATATAACATCTGAAACAAACAAAAACCAAATTTAGAGAAAACATGAAAATGAAATAAAAACAAAGCAAGAAGATAATTATAATGTGAAATAACTGCCAGAATTACTTAGAATTAACTGGTTTTTCTCAATAACTGTGAGTAATAATTTAATATAATTAAAAACAAACTTTGGAAAATAACGCTTGAAAGTGAAATTTACAAATATTAAATGGGAAACTGAACTTACAATCCTAATTCTCCTTCCCATGGCAGTCGGAGGGAGGTTGGATTTGAATTTTGCACGTACAGCACCAGAGCTGCCATGCGGCCTCGTAACCTTACCCCAGATAGCACGAACCTTTGTTTTCCTCTTAGATAATCCTGGGACATGTGTCCTTTTCTTGGCCTGAAAACAAAAAATATATTAAAACTGTTTTATACTAAGAAATCGTATTTCAAAGTAAAGGACATTTGTTGTACCTTGTAAACAAAGACACACTTTTTGCCAACATAGAACCAGCTTTCTTTTTTGAGCTTGCACCCTTCAATGCTAAGCAGGGCTGTGTTCTCGTGCTGGTTCCTAAGACCCCTTTTGTAGCCGGTGAAGACAGCCTTGGCATACAATCGACCATGCCTTTTCTTGACCATCCTCTTTGGCTTAACAGTTTTGGGTTTGGAAACAACCTCCTTTGTTGCAGCCTTGGTTTTCTTGGCAGCATCACCTTTCGACTCTGCCTTTTTAGCTGGAGCTTTCTCTTTATCAGCCATCTTAAAAAAATATTAAATTTAACACAATAGAAATAACTTTAGAAAATTATGGGAAGTTTAATGTTTCTTATTAATCAACAATCAATGAACAATGCAGAAAAGAAAAGAACAGGCAGATCAGGATGATCGTAAATGACCAAGCATTTACATTTACTACAGATTCATTACCCCAGAATTACAAGTAAAAACCTGACTTTTATATATCTCGAATATCTGACATCACTTCATGATCTTTAAAAGAAAGAAAGAAAGAAAGAAAAAAAGAAGAAAAATTTTAACAATTGATATGTTAAAAAATTCACATGATTCCAATATGTCTACAAGGGAATTAAAAACATGTTGAACTGGGCTTTAGAATGCAAAAATTAATCATATATAAAAGTACAATATTAACTAGTACCCTTCTTAACTAGTTTACTTAGCAATCCAATCCAATTATTTAGGATTTACTTATTTTTCATCATTCAAAAGTGTAAATGTATTCAATTTTTACAAACTCGACCGCATATCAGGTGGGAATACCTTCCAAATTTTAACATTAGTGAGTGGGGCAAATTTTTGAAAGGGGAAATTCAAATCACAGTTTCTACGCCTGCCTCATGGCCAGGCCGTTTCTCATTCAGAGGTAGCGGGCTGGGAGTGGCAAATTGCACTTCCCGTAACAAGATACATACTTATAAATGGGCTTTTTTCAAAACACTGGCACCCCGAGGATTCATATAGCCTCACAGTTGAAATATCCTTGTATACTAAAAAAAACCTTGAAAAAAAAATTATATTGTAATTTGTATAAAGGCGACATTACAATTCACTCCCAATTTCAATTAAACAAACCAAACACAACTGAAGAACGAAAGGGGGAAAAGTCATATAAAACGTTTTACCCTGTTGCAAACACCAGGAGCATGTCCTGTGATGATGCATCATATTGTGATTTGCATTAATACTCAAGTCAATGAAACGGTCAACCTTTAAACCAATTTGTTGTTTTTCTAACTATTCATAAACAAAACAAGAATTAATGAATGAACGGGAAAAATCAAATGAACCACTAACCCCTTGCTTGATCTGGGGATGTCCGAGATCATTTGTGAAGATGGATCACATCAATTTTGCACTTAGGCATGGCATGATCCTAAGACAATCAATTAATCAATATTCAAACAGACTGTCATTTTCTCATTATTCACCAACCAAACAACAAAACTACAGTCAGAAGCGGAAAAAGGCAATATAAAGTTAATATCACGGAACTAGCCTATGATCATGATTTGTGTACAAGCAAGGCATGATGAAATACGTTTCTTGTTGCCAATTTACTGTCCACTTTTACGTAAAAGTTATTTTTAAATAATTTGTGTCTTATTGTCTAAAGCAAGAAATTGATTTGAAAGTTTGTTAAATCTGACCACCCTGGTATAAATATGTACATGTACTTTTTCATACATTGTTTTGATTATAAAGATTTAGACTATGACTATTAGGGTTATTAGGCAGCCGGTTTTGGCAAGTTTTGATATAGTTAGGAGAAAACTTCTTCGAACCCAGGTTTAACGCTCACGCACTTCGGACCAACGTGTTTCCATCCGGGAACATCCGCGAAGGACGGCCCTCCGGCGAGTTAATTTTTATTTCTTTTCAATGTAAACAGACAGAAATTGGGTTAAAAAACTAATCAAGACATATTTGAAAATACTTACGATTAAATTGGAAGTAAAAAAGTCCCTCCAGGTAAGAGACCGTCCAACCTTCAGGGTTAGTAACGGAGAAGACAGAGAGTCGATAGAACGACACGTTGAGCTCAGAACAGCCAACTATCCATCAGGCACTGGACGTGACATCATGAACAGCAAAGTTAGGGGTGATTCTGTTGCCAACATCTCAATAAAAATAAGTAGAAAATCAAGCAAAAATTGTATAATTTTTAATTTACGTTATGAATGCTCGTAATTTCTTGATGAAATATGTATATATANTATATATATAAATTTGTGTATAAAAAAATCACACTACTTCAAATTCAATCAAAATCATTCAAATCAAATTCACACTACTTACAAACGGTTTTTTGTCCCTACTAACTTTTTCATTAATGATTTTTTATTTATTTATTTTTTCTTTATATATTTAAATTTCCATATTGTTTTTTTATGATATCAGCAACAAACTCCGGCAGCCGGTTTTAATCCATGCTTGAATATACTTACTTTGTTATCCTTTTACTTTTGTTGTAAATAAAAGTATCTATCTACTTGCAAACGATATATTTTCTCTAAATTTACTGTTAACATTTGGACCCAGGAACTTAAAATGTACACAAAATTACTAAAAAGCACAGTTTGAATTTATTTCTGTGAAAAGTACACTTCATTAAAACATTTTTAAAAAAGTATGGTCTATTTTTTATTTTGAATTATTTATTTTTTATATTTTTTTAAATTTTATATATATTTTTTAAATTAAATTTCATTTATCATTTTTATTTATTTATTTTTAACGAGAGTTCGCAACAGTAGAGGTCATCATAATCTTCGGGGTGTCCTTGTTTTTGAAAACCATCCTATTTGTAACTATGTCGAGTTTCTAGTCAGTTTTGATTGTTCATTTATTTCTTTTCCTCCTTGATTTTCCTTATAAAAATTATTTTGAGTATGTTTATTTAGGCTAAATATCCAAGAGTGTAGTTTGATTTTTATGGAATACTTTGGTACATTTTTTGTTATTACAAGGGGCAAACGTGCCATGATTTGGGTAGTATGATTATTTATCAATTATTAAGTTATTAAAATTTTAAAAATTACACAAAAGACACAAAAAGTTGAAACATTGCATAAAAACCCTCCCCAAAACTGGTAAACTCACGGCTGCAGTTGGAGAGGGCCAGACTCCGAGGAGTGATAGGACTATACATCAGTGACTGGCATCTGAGAAAACATCTACAGAACATGGACATTTTCATTCCCATTGTACATTATGCAAATGAAGAGGAAGTAACCGCCACCCATTTCATCTTCGAATGTGAAGCAACATCTCAAGGACACATAACCTGGGATGCAAAGATAACTCAGTGAAAGGAATTACAATCCAAACAAAACAAGACAAAGTAAACCATTGAGTGAAAAAGTAAAAATGCTTTTTAGCCCATAAACTTATTTTTTGATTGCATTGAAAATTCATATTGAAGAGGTTTAAAAGATGTTTAAACAAATCCAATTTTTCAAAATATCTATTTTTTGGTCTAATTTTTATCCTTCATGTTACTTTCTTATCCTATGGTGAAGACTCAACGAAAGAAATCGACAGAATGGTCTGATAGTAACCTTGAAATACATGCACAACAATTCAGAAAGCAATATTTAAAAAATTTATAAAAATTATTTTTTCTTGGTTTCTGAGGTAATTTACCTGTTGTATTTCAATTTGGCAAGAACACTCGTTAAAATGTCTAATATTGTCATACCTAGTACCAACAAAAACGTTCATTAAAATCGGTGATCTTACGTTTGTTGGCCTCTCCTTTTAAGTTATAACACATATTTTCAAACTTAACATCATATTATAGAAACAAGATCTAGCAGGTTTATCTCTTTTATGACTGCGGAATTTCAAAATGATTTTGTTTACAAAGGATGTTAATAATCAACTATAGTGTTTTCATAATTAAGTCGGTACTTTATTACCATTTAAATAAATAAATTCCAGAAAGAATACTGATCTTTTTTTAGTTAGAAACCTTAATAAAACGGTTAAGGAATGATTTAATTTTACCAATTTTAAATTCTTTCCTAATAAAGTTAATTATTTCAATTATGTACTAATAAATTTTCCGTTAAAAAAACAAAAACAAAAAACAATGCTTTCTTTATTGTCAAAATCAGGTGTTTTCAGAAATTTGAGGGGCTTAAAATTCTTGTAATTCTAAGGCCCAATGGAAACTGGACTATCTTTTAACAAATAGTAATATTTCTCTTTAAGTGATGTCATATTAAAGAATTTAAATGCTGTTCTTCGGAAATTTATTGTATTGCTCAGGCTGTCAATGCACAGTTGTAATTGTGTCAATATGAATCATTCTTTCCTCGAACCTACAAAATTTTAGGGTTACAATGTACTACAGTGAATACAAGCCGACATGCATGGATAAATATTTCGGGAGGACATCGGCTGACGAGTTTAAGGTCAAGTGTATTATGCCACCCGATAGCCAAAGTTACGAACAGGAGAAAGCCATTGCCATCCAATTTTGCAAGGACAACAAGAAATGCCAACCGGGGATCTGGCCTTACCTGTCGAACGAAGTGTACAATTCTCCCTCTTGCAGCTGTCGTGAAGAGCAGCAAGACTGCTACAGCCGTCATCACCATCGGAAATGCTGCAATACTCAGGAAGAAGGGTGTAGAAAAGGGCATAGCGCCCAGAGGTCAAGGACCAAACCAAAGCACTGTTGTCCGAACCGGTACGAAAGTGACATGGAGATATTCCAAAGGGATTATTTTCCAGGACCCGGTGATAATTCTTTAAGCGTGTATAAACATAAAAACGGTAGAGGTTTACAACGCAAAGGGAGTTCGATAATGAAAGAAGGGGCGCTTATTCACTCGAATTCAGCGCAAAATTGCCTTGCCATTTTAAAAACTAAACAGCACACCCAATTAAAAGAAGATACTAAAATAAAGAATTTGGAGAATCCTGTGCAACTATCGACATCGAATAACAATACATTTGATATTCCCGATGTACCGATGCAAAAGCCACTTTCAGATACCAGATTGATCGGATATGTTATGTTCAACCCGGAGAATCCCAACTCATGTCCCTATATCGCATCCTTGGCGGGTATAAGGATTTTCCCGGACAAGATTGAACAAGGAGAGCACGAAGGTTGGGCCTGGAGTGTCTCGGAAATGCACAATTTGATGAACGACGCTTTCCCGACTCCAACAAAGTGCATGAGCCCAATGAGATGAAGACGTCGGGTTATCACTTAGGAAGCTGAAACGAAAGATATAACCAATTTATTGTCAGATATCTAATTTTCACTTCATTCACTGTGTAACTTGTACAATAATAAAACCTTTGCACGGCGTGTTTCATAGCTAAGAAGAGGTTTAATTATATATAAAACATTATCTAATCTTACACAAACATACATCCACATAGATAAACAAATAGGCTGTAGGTTATTTATTACGAGTCGACCTCTTTACGACCTTGCGCATCGAGACCAATTTTGGACTATTCATCAATCGCCATATTGTCCAGAGCTCTGCTTAAGGCAAGGCATTTTACCAGATTTCAAAGATTTGTTAAGAACTCCAGCTTGTATTCTTCAGGAATCGCGTTTTTTCTCTCTCCCCCAGGAAGGATTTTCACCTTCCATCGAATTTTTTATTTAATTTATTCTTCTCTCTGGCAATATCTAATAGGCTTGTTTCTGCTATTCTGAGTTTCGAGCCTTCGGAGTTCGCATTGACAAATCAGCATTGACCTATTATCATTCTAGTCCTAGCACGTTCTAGCTATAATCGATCTATTTTTTTCTCTTTTTGAACTTTATTTAACGAGAGAGAGAGAGAGAGAGAGAGAGAGAGAGAGAGAGAGAGAGAGAGAGAGAGAGAGAGAGAGAGAGAGAGAGATTAATTGATTAACGATTTATTTATTAAAATACTCGCAAAAGTTAGGTCTCTAGACTTTTTTTAGCACACTTAACACTTAGGACACTTAATGTGTAATTACAATTATCATTGGCAGAGAGTCAGGAGACAGAAAGGCAGATAGACAGACAAACCGGCAGACAATTTCTTTCGTCTGTACTGTATAAAAAATATTGAAGAACGAGATCACATGAAAAACCGACTAGTTGTCCAGCTATAGTTCGCTAATTATTCATACTTGCCTGAATCGAAGATTAAAATTAAAAAGACGTATGCAATGGGAAGATGATTTTCTAAAAGAATTCTCTTAGAAAAAACAAAATAAATGTAGAAGACTAACTAAAATTTAGTACAATATCTCACTTAAGTCCAACTCAGCGGTGATGCTCCAATACCTAGATAGTGTGATAATATGAATCTGAAATGTGTGGTGTTTAGTGACCGTTAGTTAATGGTTATTTGGAGATCGTGAGATGCGGTCTGGTGTGACGTAGGTTTTAGAAAAACATTTTCTTTATCGTGTCATGACTTTGTTAAGATCATCTTCAGGGCCTGGGATTTTTGAAACATTGACAAACTTTAAAATAGCCTTTAAAAACTATAAAACAATTCACGCACTTTTTTCCAAAATTAAAAATTCCACACCCGTAACAAAATGACGTAATTTACTAAATCAATTGTTTAAACTGTCCGGCAACATACATCGGAAATGGCTATTTTAAAGTTATCAGAAGAGAAAAATGTGTTTAATTTGATGTGGTATTATTAGTAATAGCAGATGGTGTTAGTATTGAGTTGTAGTTGTTATTCTGTCCCAACTTCCTTCCCCACCACTACCAAATCCAACGTATATAAACATAAAACATCAATATCTCATTGGCAGTCTCAACACGATACCCAATAATGTCACATCTACACAGAAAACAAACACTTTGAGTGAGTGCAAATACTTTGGATTGAGTCTAAAATTTCTAGCATTGTATAAATTCACTTTTTTGACATATTACATGTATTTGTGTAATTTAAGCAATGTTTATAAATCCCAGGCCCTGAAGATGATCTCAATAAAGATCGAAACGTTGGCACGATAAAGAAAATGTTTTTCTAAAACCTACGTCACACCAGACCGCATCTCACGATCTCCAAATAATCAT